AGTAGCAGTGCTAGCAGTAGTAGTAGTAGTAGTACTACTACTACTACTACTATTACTACTACTACTACTACTACTACTACTACTACTACTAGTACTACTACTACTACTACTACTACTACTACTACTAAATATTTCTACTACTTCATCTAGTACTAGAAAGAGAGTGTGTCAGATAAAGGGAGGGACAGGATGGACAAAGAAAGAGAGACAGCGAGATGCATGTAATTATACAGATATATAGAGACGTATACGTTTGTATGTGTATATGTATATATGTATACCTGTGTATACACAGTATGTATGTATATATATATATATATACATATATATATATAGGGAGATAGAGATATATGGAAATAATAGGTGCGTGACACCACTGAACCGGTAAAGAAATCCACAGTACCAAGAAACAAATGTGTACACGTATATACACATATCTATATATGTGTATATAAATACATACATATATATGCATCGATCGGGGCCTTTGGGTCCTCCTTCACCAAGGCCCCAGGACATATCGAAGACATCCATGTCCTTCTCTTCGTCGCTGCCCTCGTAGTCGGCATCGCTGTCGACTTCCTCGTAGATCTCACGCTTGCGCTTCCTTGTGTACGCAATATAGACTAAGGAAGTTCATGTTCATGCACCCACAGAAATATATATATATATATATACATATGCCTCGACCAGGTATAGAAGTGAATGTTCAGGTGGGAGGTAATATGAGAGATGAACAAGAACATGCCGAGAGTCAGCATCTTTCCTTCCACCGCCTTCTCCAGCCAGTAGAGCTTCACATCGGGCTCATACCGGTCTCGCCTGCACGATATGTTCTGCAAATGCTGAACATCACAGCAATGTGAGTACGTGTATATATATATATATATATACATATAATTACACATATGTGCAAATGATGGATTGAATTTAGATATACATGTATATATATATATATATATACATGTATATATATATATATATAGGTACAGACGGATATATAGATAGATCGATGGGCATATACATGGATAGACGGGTTATTTATACATGTACACAGATATGTATCTTTATGTATATGCATGCGCATGTGTACACGATTATTATATACTTTTTACTCAAATTAATACAAATTACGGTATTTTATTTTGTTCATATAGGAAGACTATATACATATATGCACATGTGTGTGTATGTGTTTGTGCTTATAGTGATACTTGCCAATATGTCTATATATATATATATAACCTGTTAATTAAAAGAAAACTCACAAGTGCCATATATATATATATATATATGTATGTGTCTATATATGTACTTGTTATGCATGTACATAGAAAACATACAGAGCACTTTTACATGTGTTCGTCTTCTCTCTCTCTCTCTCTGTCAATCTGTCTATCGTTTTTTTTTTAATCCTGTCTCCGCTTCTTTTTCTGCTCTCCCTCTCCCTCTCTCGCTAGTTCCCTGTTGTTCTTAAAACAAACACATTGATTGTATCGGTCTACATATACACAGACAAGTCCGAGTCCCACCTGATCCATCCCCGCATCTTGGCACACTCAGCATGAACGGCTTTCTTCCGGGTTTCCGTCATGCCAAGCTCAGCCATGTCGGCATCCGAAACGAACTGCCCAGACACCCAAAGCTCCGACTCGGACTCTCGTCGCTTGACTTTCTTCACAGAGCGCTTGATGAACAGGTCCTATCTTAGGAAGCACCACCAATGGGAGCACACAAAAGCATCACACACGAAGAGCTCGGTCCTTGTCCAAGCCAGCTTTCAGGAATTCCTTCTCGAGCTCGGCACGCTGGCTCAGGTCCTTATACTGATCCACCAGCTCTTTCGGAACCAAGAATGTCCCGTCCACTCGTGGCGAGAACAGTCGCGACATGCGCTTCTTCACCGAGCTCATGCTGACCTGACTCTGAAGTGCTTCCATACAATCTGCCACCATGTCAGACACGTCCTCCTTCTTGACCTGGAAGCTGTCAGTTCCCCAACAAAGAGAGTATATAAAGACGTATATTAGTTACACACATATATGTATATGTATACATGTATACACATCTCTGTATACATGCACAGACACAAGAAACTTGAATATAAGACCAGGGTCTGCCGGTCTCGACTTCTCCGGGCTAGGCGACTTGTCGGCTTTCTTCTGCTGAGGATCACCCCGTGCTCCTTTGGACTCGTCCAGGCTCTGCGACTTCTGCTGCTCACGATCACCCTCTGCTTTGGACTTCACTGGGCTCTGCGACTTCTGCTGCTCACGATCACCCTTTGCTTTGGACTTCACCGGGCTCTGCGACTTCTGCTGTTCACGGTCACCCCTTGCTTTGGACTTCACCGGGCTCTGCGACTTCTGCTGCTCACGATCACCCGTTGCTGCTTTGGACTTCACCGGGCTCCGCGACTTCTCGTGCTCACGATCACCCCGTGCTGCTTTGGACTTCACCGGGCTCTGTGACTTCTGCTGCTCACGATCACCCCGTGCTGCTTTGGACTTCACCGGGCTCCGCAACTTCTCGTGCTCACGATCACCCCCTGCTGCTTTGGACTCCACTGGGCTCCGCGACTTCTGCTGCTCCCCATCAGCCCGTGGTGCTCTGGACTTCACTGGGCTCTGCAGCATCTCGGCTCTCTCCTCACGAGCAACCCGTCGTCCTCTGGACTTCACCGGGCTAGGCGACTTCTCCTGTGCAGGATCACACCGTGCTGCTTTGGACTTCACCGGGCTCCGCGACTTCTCGGCTCGCTTCCTCCGGGGAACAGAACCTGTCTCCGAGTCCTCCTCCAGAGTCTGCACAGGTGCCTCGAAGTCCCCAGGCACAGTCGAAGCTGTGTTCAACCGACGCACCTGCGGCAATGTTTGCGTATCAGGATAAATATGCAAAAAGATCTGAATATACGTGCACGAAAGAATACATGCATGTGTGCATTCATACGTATATGTGTGTACATATACAAGTATGTATGAACAAACATGCATCATATGTGCATACATGTGTTATAGATACACACCTTTACGTATATTATATGTATTCACATACGTGTGTCTAAATACGGATACACACACACACATATATATATATATATATACTTATTTGCTTATGTGTATACACGTGTATATATATATATATATACAGACAAAATAGACATATATCGTTTTGTATACACATATACAGGTATATATAGGTCTTCAAGAGGTCTGTGTGCGTCGGCTATACACATACATAGCTATATTTTTCTACACAGGCACAGGATACGTATCATCGTATGTATAGACACACATGTACTGACATGACTGGCTTCGTATACATATATACTGGTATGCATATATATATATATACATACGCAAAACTCTATATATGTACATACGTGTATTTACATAATATGCATCTATATAGTTCAATATAGACATGTATCTTGTATGTGTGCATGGCACATGTCTCGATGTGTTTGCGTGAATCATCTGTCAATGTACGTGAACCAGTACTAGACTTATACTAGACACGCTATACTACACTGACACACACACACACACACTAGAACAGGCACCTGTTCTTCAGTAGGCATGGTTCGCTTTGCCGTCATGCCACGCACAGGTGTGGGAACGGGCGCGGCGCTGACTGCCGTATCCTTGGACTGCGGTTTCTGGGATGCCTGGCTGGATGCTGGGCTGGGATTGGAGTCAGGGCTGCGGGGTGCGGCTTCACGCTGGTAGGAGGTAACAGGTTGGGCCATCCGCTGCTTTGCCTCAAGGGTCTTCTTCAGCTCCTGTTCGAAGCAGAATTAAGTATGTAAATTTATATAGGGTTTACATTTTCAGGGGTGAAATTTCCTAGATAGGGAGAGGACATCTGTATACATATATTTATATATATACATATATGCATATTTTCCATACACACGTATTATAAAAAGCTCTTTCTTTCTGACTACTATTTGCTAGTCAGCATGTACAGTGTGTCTTGAGGGAGAACATGAGTTAGTGAGTAACTACTTCAGTACATGCAGGGAAGGCTTATCCAGGATTTGTTGCTTCAGGTTCAAACGTAGCCCATTAGTTTAAGTTAGAAGGATTTGGTCACAAACCCCCGATCGGGTCTCCTCGAGCCTCCGAAGCTCCGATAGCATACTCGTCTTGTCGGATGCACTAAGCTTCCGCCAGGGAGCTTCTCGGAGCGTAGCTTCACCATCTTCGAGGGTTTCCGTACTGTACATATTCGAGCGAAGCTCACGGTGGAGGGTCATATAGGCGAGGGATCGACCCTAGCTACAGCGAGGCAAGCAGCTCCTTGCAAACGAGCCAGCTTCGAGTATGTGTTTTGATTCGGGGCACAGCAAGTGGGCACAGCAGCATCTAGGTAACACCACAGCACAGCAATACTAAGATTACCAAACCTGGTCCTAACTACGTTCTCTATATATAGCCGACCCTTCCACTCGGTGCTGTATTGCTGTTCCTTGTGTTGCAGACGATGATGACTCTGAACCCTGCATGCAACAATTAACGACCATACAGGAAATCGACACTCCAGAAGAAGTGTCCAGCAGATGTCGAAGACTTCATAACACAGCACATATTCCCTCCCTTCAGGCACACCTCGGCAGCCCATGCTGATTAGAGTTTATAGATCACATATATATATATATATATAGGGTTTATATATATATATAGGGTTTATAGGGTTTATATAGGGTTTATAGGGTTTATATATATAGGGTTTATAGGGTTTATATATATATATATATATATAGGGTTTATAGGGTTTATAGGGTTTATATATAGGGTTTAGGATAGGGTTTTAATTTGGGTATATATATGTATATATATTCTATATAGGGCTTCATATATATATATATAGGGTTATTTATATATATATATATCTAATATATATATATATATATATATCTATATATATATATACAGGGTTTATCTAGTAGGGATTATATATATATATAGGGGATAAGTGCCACGACGATGTACACATCGATCCCTATATACCCTACGATGTACACGTCGGTCCCTAACGCTCATCTTAATGCCCTCTACTGTACAAAGATTTGCATTCGATCTAGCCAGCACCCCATGCATATGTGCTCTTCATCTATCACTGAGAAACCGACATACATCTTACACTATAGAGGACTTTGCTACTCTATCTATATAAGCTTATATAGATGTCTGTGTCTCTCGACCCCGTCCCTCCCGGGCCCTCCAAGACCCTTTAACGGCTTGTACACTGGTGATTTCCCAGGCTGAGCAGATCCAGGGGCCAGCTGTGGATCAGGAGCCCACAGGAAGTGAATTACACCTGTTCGGAGAGCAGCCCTGCATGCGTAGCTGACAAGATCTCGATCAAGGTGTACATGTATATGTATGACCAGTACAGGGAATGTATTATATATGTACACACACACAAACTTGTATATTCATCTGCTGTGAACGTACTTACACACGTGTATATATATATATATATACATAATTAATGGACATCTCTGTCTATTTGTATATATGTATGTATATATATATATGCACTATATGTATATCTATGTGCAAGGTTAAATGTTCTTAGAAAAACAGCTGTCTGCACCCATGTCCAGTATATATATATATACGAACATGCATGTGTAGCTTGAAAGTAAGATATGTCTGTATATATAAACATATATATATATATATGTGTGTGTCGATCACTATATATGTAATCGCTATTATATATATATATATATATGATTTATCTATTTACTTATACATAGAAATGTATATCCAGATTTTTATATGTATATACAGATATATAGTATATATGTGTATACGTATACATTATATATATATATATATAATATATATATATATATATATATATATTATACACATAATATATATATATATATATCTACATAATATATATATATATATACACTATACATATATATATATATATTTATATTTATACGTAATATATATATATATATATATGCATGCAAATACGTATAAAGGGAAAGCATTACGAGGACTTGCATGAGGGTTTTATCATATTATTGGCTGATCGAGGGGCGGAGTAACGAGGTCGATGCTAGAACCCAAACAATCACAACAATATGAAGAATCACATTCTTCATATTGCTAGGCAGCGGGGCGAGGGGTCGTGAGAGACAGCAAGGGCTTCGAACCAGACTAGCGCCACAATATGAAGAATTACATTCCTCACATTGTGTTAGGACAGCACAGCAATATATGAGGAACCCCGCAGCAATGCAGAATATCGTACCCACACGAGCAAGCCAATATGAAGAATGGCATTCTTCATATTGTTCTGCAAGTGTATGAGGCAGGGTCGAACTTGACAGCAAAACATTACGGCAATATGAAGAATGGCAGTCTTCGTATTTTTGTGCGCCACAGACTAGCACAATAATATGAAGAATCACAGTCTTCGCTTGTTTTTGGCCACTGTGGGAAGCAGGCCCATGCATTTTAAATGGGATCGATATATAATTGAACCAAACTAGGAACGTAATATGAAGAATTGCATTCTTCATATTCCTGTGTTTTTGCTGCGCAGCAACAAGGCAGCACAGACTAGCAAAACCATATGAAGTATAGAGCCGTCTTGGGGGTATTTTGCCACTGTGGGAGCTCGATCTTGGCAGCAAGATATTGAACCACACTGGCACCGTATTATGAAGAATCCCATTCTTCATATTAGTTCTTGCTATGGAGTGACAAGACAGCACACACAGAAGGAAACATTTTTTTATTTACATGGCAGTCTTTCGATAGTGTGGGAGGCAGGACCAAGATATAGAACCAAACTAGCACAGTAATATGAAGAATCCCATTCTTCATATTAATATTCGGTGTGGAGCGACAAGGCAGCAAGAAAACAGGAATGAACCAGGCATCGGAGCCACACTTAGCCGAAGTCTTGGCAGCGAGGACTGGAGCAGGGATATGAAGAATGGTATTCTTCATATTGGCGGGCTGGATGCGTGAGTGGTTCACTGGCAGCAAAGCGAATATCAGTAAATTCTTCATATCGTCTGGTGTGGTGAGGGGCTACACAGTATCTGGGGTATGCAGCAGACAACGACAATATAATATGAAGAATCTAGGCTTTGGCCTTGCTCACACGCATAATAAGAAGAATGCCACACCGACCTACGTCAAATCCACCTCCCGGCCAATCCCGCCCGCGACCCGGCC